TCCCCTCTTTCCTGGGGACATATCAAGACACAAGTGTCTCATCCTAGCAAACACTCATTTTTAAAAAAAGACTTCAGACTACAGTAGAAAGAATATAGATTTTTAAGTAGGAGTTGGACAATGACATAGTGAAGGAGGAAAGGAATAATAAAAATCTCAATTCACAAGCAATCTCTTTCCTAAGGTTAAAAACTGCACAAAGGGGCCAGTGTGGCAGCCTTGTAAGCTAATCTTCCATCTGTGGCACAGCATTCCATATGGGCGCTCGTTCACATGCTAGGTAGTCCACTTCTAATCTGGCTCTCTGCTTATGGCTGAGAAAGCAGCAGATGGTGGCTTCAGTCCTTGGGTCCCTGCACCCACATGGGAGACCTGAAGAATTTTCTGGCTCACAATTGGTTTGACTCCTGCTGTTACACCCATTTGTGGAGTGAACCAGAAAACGGAAGATTTCTTTCATTTTCCTTGGCTAAGACATTGCTCCAAAGACCCACATTCCCTATCAGAGTTTCTGTGCTCAGATCCTAGTTCCTCTTCCAAATCCAGCTAGCATGCACCAACGAATCAGTAGGAGACACCCCAGAGTTTTAGACTTTGAGCGTCAGCCTGGACTAACATAGGCTGTTGCTGGCATTTGAAGGAGTAAACTAGCCTTTTAAATAAACTAAGAATTAAAAATTTAAACAACGCTCCTGTCATCATTTTAAAAAATTCATTTTAGATGGAACTTTGGTGAACTGGCATAGTGGCCTAACTGCTAAAGTCCTCGCCTTGAATGCGCCCGGGATCCCATATGGGGCTGGTTCTAATTCCACAGCCCCGCTTCCCATCCAGCTCCCTGCTTGTGGCCTGGGAAAGCAGTCAAGGACAGCCCAAAGCCTTGGGACCCTGCACCCATGTGGGAGACCCGGAAGAGTTCTTGGCCTTGGATTGGCTCAGCGCCGGCTGTTGTGGTCACTTGGGGAGTGAATCATTGGATGGAAGATCTTCCTCTTTGTCTCTCCTCCTCTCTACATATATTTGACTTTGCAATAAAAGTAAATCTCTAAAAAAAAAAAGCACCTATGAGAATGGTATCAAGTGAATGGGGTAGCCCTCCAGGCCTCAAGGCAGGTGAAAAGCAACTAGATGGAGGCCTAGAAAGGGAGTACCTGGAAGCTCCTCAGGGTGCCTGGCGGGTCTTTGGGGGGCAGTGCTAATTCCTGGTTCCCTGCTGCTGCTGCTGCCTAGGGAATTCTGAGAATTGAACTGCATTTCTGGGTTTGGCCGGGACTTATTGGTTGATGGGAGGAATTTCAATCCTAAAATAAAGCTTAATCTAATGCAAAAAAAAAAAAAAAAAAGGAAGGAACTTTAATAAGAATTCAAAGAAAGTTTTGTAGATAACAGAATTTACTAGAAAAAAATTAAAATTTCCATTCAACGAGTCGTTAATTATTATCCAACAAACTGGTATTATTTTACACTAATTTTCCCAATAGCATTTCCAGGTTAAAACAGCATCACTTTTAAACTCTTCTATTAAGCATAAATTGGCTTCCCCCTAAAATGATTTATTGTCACATTCAAAGCTTTGATTAGTGTTATTTCTTCAGCCTCATTTTCTTTTTCATAAATAAATAATTACAGCTTCTCATAAAAAAGAAAGCCCAGGGTTTCTGTTGTTTTTTTGCTCAATGTGTTTTCCCCAATGCATCTTTCAAATCACTTCACAAAAAAATAAAGGGCTTCTAAGTAGCAGAAGCATCAAATACATATGACTATCAATAATAATTTTCTTGTAACACCTGCAAACTGTTTTTAAGAACTCAATGAACATGGGCCCGGCGCGGTGGCGCAAGTGGTTAAAGGTCCTCGCCTTGCACGCCCGGGATCCCATATGGGCGCCGGTTCTAATCCTGGCAGCCCCGCTTCCCTTCCAGCTCCCTGCTTGTGGCCTGGGAAAGCAGTCGAGGACGGCCCAACGCTTTGGGAACCTGCACCCGCGTGGGAGACCCGGAAGAGGCTCCTGGCTTCGGATCGGCATAGTATCGGCCCGTTGCGCTCACTTGGGGAGTGAATCATCGGACGGAAGATCTTCCTCTCTGTCTCTCCTCTCTGTATATCTGCCTTTCCAATGAAAAAATAATAAAAATAAATCTTTAAAAAAAGAACTCAATGAACAGCAAATAACCAACTACCGAGATAATTTAATAGTAACATAGTTACTTGGGATGATTTGCCTGTCCTAGGGCCTGGCATTATGGCACTGTTGTTAAGCTGCCTCCTGTAATGCTGGCATCCTATAGGAGCTCCAATTCAAGTCCCAGTTGCTTCACTTCTAATCTAGCTCCCTACTAATGGGAAAGCAGAAGATAATCCAAGTGCTTGGGCCCCTGCTACTCATGTGGGAGATCCATGAAGTGCAACCTGCTTCTAGCTACAGACTGAAGCCACCCTTGCTCTTGTGGCCATTTCAGGAGACAACCAGCAGATGGAAGAGTGACACACACACACTCTCTCTGTAACCCTGCCTTACAACTAAATACATACACAATTTTCTTGAAATTTTATTTATTTGAAAGGTAGAGTTACAGTTAGGAGGAACAGAAAGGTAGAAAGATTTTTCCATTTACTGGTTTACTCCCCAAATAGCCACAGTGGCAGGGGCTGAGCTAGGCAGAAACGAGCCTGGAATTCCATCTGGATTTCACACACAGCAAGAGACCAAGTACCGAAGTCAACTTCTACTGGTTTCCTAGGTGTATCAGCAGGGAGCTGGATTGAAAGTGGAGTAGCAAGCACTTGAGGATGAAGCTGGTGCTCAAATGGGATCGCTGTAATCACAGGCAGCAGTTTAACCCACTTTACTACAACGCTGACCTCCATTTTCAATGTTTCAACTATTTACGGCAATAATTTCTGGTGTGACAGGTAGAGTGGTAGAATGGGTTAAGCCATTATTTGGGATGTCTGCATCCTATATCAGAGTCCTTGCTCCTCTTCTTATGATTTAACCTCATGCCAATGCACCCAGGAAGACAGCAAGGGACAGCCTGACTTTGGTCATGCCACCTGGGGGGAATGCATAGTGTTCTGGGCCTCTGCTTGCTCCAGCCCTGCCCTGGATCATAGTGAGCATTTAGAAATGGACCAACAGATAGGGAGTATCTACGCATGTGTGTGGCCCCACTTTCATTTTGCCTCTCAATTACATAAACAAATCTTCTAAAACATTTGAATAACTTTGTATTCAATCTCTATTCATTATAGATTATATTCACCTTGACATCTCTCTTACCCTACGTTCAGCTACTTAAACTTATCACTTTGATAATGAGTACCCTCTTATCTTCAAGCTTCCTTCTCAGTTATTTTGCTTCCATAAATCTCTTTCCAATTTCTATCTGATCCGACATTTCATTCTGCATGCTGTATGCCAAACAAATCTTCCTTCAATAAGGATTTCATTAATCCTCAGCACATCTATTTATTTTGGCATTAAACCATACTTAAGTTCAGAAGAAATAATTGGTGACTCTTGTGTTGTTCACTGGTAAACAAACAAAATACCTTCCATACAACTCTGCCTTACAACAGAAGTCCTACTATGCTTTTCTTTTATTAAAACACTAAGTATATAATTAATGCTGGAGAAAATAGAACTCTAAGTGGTCAAAGCCGTTAAAAGACAGTTCAAATGATAAAACCTAGAAAGATAGCTAGCAAAGGATACAGGAATTTGTCTTGGTTAGCACTGTAGGCTTAGTTTCTGTCAACACTAAAATAGTGTCTAGCAAATAGTAAATGCTACAACAAAACAAAACAAAACAAAAATATTAAAGGAAAGCAAGGCAGTATAGAAATTTGTAACTCAGAAAAATTAAATGCTGTAAGGGAAAGGATTTTCATTTGGAAATGTAAAGCTGAGTCTCAGAATCAAGACATTAGCCAGTCCTTCAGCTTGAGAAGACCTTTAATAGTTAAGATGATTTGTGTACTTGCATTTTCAACAGAAAAAAAATGTTATATCAGCAAAACTTTAAAGACATAAATTTTTATGTCACATTGAGAGTAAAAAACAATTCGTGGAAGTTGATTTATGCAAAATCTAGTTATTAAAGGGCAAATGTAAAAGCAATTAAAAGGACATTAAAAACACACAATGCCATAATATTAAGTCCTGATTCACTGGCACTTTTTAAAGTTTCAAATGAATACTTCCCAAAATAATATAATGTAAGTAATCTTTCACATGCTTTCAGTGCCTACCACTTTAAGAGTTTCATCATCTCATTTTGTCAACTAAGCCTTGTACTCAGTAGTCAGCAACACACATATGTGCACACAATTGCATTTCCTTTTGGGCACTAAAGCTCTTCAATATCTTTATTAATTTCATTTACTATTATTGTTATAAAATAACAAAAATTCCAATAAATGGTATTGCATGACTTCACACAATTCTTTCAAAGACTTGAAATGCTTCCTTTAACATTGTTGAAATAAAACTGATGAAAATAAAAATTTGTGTTGCAGAAATAAATCAAGGTATTCACAAAATAAAGCATTTTGCACTGATAACCAAGGCTTGTGCTTCAACTCTAAAATTTTGCAATATCTCCAAAAGTTTAATTTTTAAATTTCCAGCTCTTTGATGTTTCACTTTTATGTATTCTAAACTCAAATTTTAATCCCTTAAAATAAAATGTCCACAATAAACTTGAGGGTGTAATACCCAACATACTAGCATTCATTCCATCTCTGAAAAGTACTTTTGATGGCTGTCTATGCATTTTTACGTCACCATTTACTTTCAAAAAACAATCCTCCAAAACATGATTTTTCAAATTACACTAGCTCTCTTACTAATGCTCTTAAAATTCAGATGAGGTTTCCTCCTAGAGCTGGTAACTTTCTAATGCACTATCATATTCCTCTTTAATGGCACCTAGGCTAAGAATTCAGAGACGAATCATCGAAAAGGTAGGGGATGTCAAAAACATTAATACACACCTTACCAGTACTGTCAGGAAACAGATAAATATTAGGATAAGGAAGAAAGGAAAATAGGGTTTAACTATTCCCCTTTTCCCACTTTTCCCTCCCCGAATGTACCAAGACACAAGTGCATGTGATTCTCCAGCGCGGTCACAAAGCCCTTGGCTACCAGAGAACCTTAGCCCTCCTGGCAGCCGCTAGAGCACTATTGCACTCATCCGGCCACGTGGCTGTCACAATCAGAAGGCCGACAGGAGAGGCAGCGCGACAAAGCTGGAAACAAATAACCGCCTCCTTCCCTTCAGTCAGAGTTGGAGTTGAAGAAAGTAAGTCTGTGCCATTTCTCTTCCGTGCTAAGACTGCTCCGTAAGAAGTGATCGAAATACAGGAACAACCTGAACAAAACCCTAAAGCAGAAATCAAGTGTGGGAAGATCCCACTGACTGTGGTTCCCAAAAGAATGATATCCCCCAACTCTTGCTAGCCGAGCTGGGAAGAGGTTTTTCCACAAGCAAGTAACAACGGGGAGGAGTTAGGTGCGAGTGGAGGATGGAAGTTTGACCACATGGGCTGCTCTGCTCTAACTCCCACCGAGCCCTGGGTACCAGATCGACTGCTGCCACACGGCCCCTCTCCGTCAGCGGATCGCTCACTCGCCCAGAAAGACGTGACTAAAGTTCACAGGGAACCACGGCCGCAGAGGAGACAGCAAACAGGAAGTGTCCATAACGCAGCCCTGAAACACTAACCTCCAACCCACCGACACATGCACCCTCAGGGACCGCCGGGGCGTCCGCCGGAGGAGGGGCGAGAGGGTGCCAGGCCGGACACCCGCACATCCGGGACCCGCCCCCGTCCACCCCAACGCCTGGCAGCCCGAAGTTCACGTTGGGCCGCGCCCCGGGCACTACTCCGCGGGGCCCGGCCAGTCCTGACCGGGTCCGGACAAGGACCCCACGCCCGGCACGTTTCGCAGTACTTCCAGACAGGGCAGTGGGTTTTGCAAAGGTTCCCGAGGGGTGCTTGGGGCGCTTTTCCGAACCACAGGCTTCCCCTTCCTCCCCGCCTCCTCGAGCCCTAATCGTCCCGGGAGCCACCACCCCTCGCCACGGTTTCCGCCGCGCGACACCCCTTCCCGGGCGATCATCAGATCTCAAGAAAAACTCGGAACTCCTCAAGGGGCCACGCTTCCCTCAGTTCGGCTCCCCCGGGGGACCCAAAATCAGGGCCCGAGCCAGCGCCAATTCCTCATAGGACAATAATGTCCGGGCGCGTCACGGGACAGCCGCCTCCGCGCCCCACGCCGCCCGCACGAGCTGCCTCAGCGCCGGGGAGAGGAGACGCCGCCGGCCGGAGCCCGGAGCGCGAACGCCGGGCGGCGCCGGCCGGGGAGGGCTCCGCTCCGTTCGGGACTCACCGTCAGCTCGGCCGCCGCGGCGGGGTGGCGAGAGACAGACAAGAGTGGGGTGGGGAGACACAATATGGCAGAGCACCACAGCTGCTCCCCGCGGCTTCCAGCAGCCGCCTCCGGGAAGACGCGGCCACGAGCAGGCAGCGGCAGCTGCGGTGGCGGCCGCGGCAGCACCACATCCCCCTCCCGCTCGCTTCCTCCACTCCCTCCCCCTCCCCACTGCCATGGCAACGCGGCGCCAAGGAGATTGGCCCCGCCCCGCCCTGCCGTCCCCGCCTCCCGCGACCCCTCCGCCAGGGGCTCGGCCCGCCTCTCCCAGCCCCCGGCCCCCTCCTACCTGAGGGCCGGCTCGGGCCTCGCGGGCGGGCGGGCGGGGTGCGGGGGGTGAAAGGCGGCGTCCGGAAGGGTGGGGCTGGCGCGCAAGGCCGGGCGGAGGCTCGGGGCCGCGGTCGGCCGGACTGGGGCAGAGGAAGGCGGGAAAATGGAAAGGCCTCGCCTGTCCCGGGACGGACCTATAGGAGCGCGGCGGAGGCGCGGCGCGGCCGCTGAGTGGCTGAGGCGAGCCGGGGGGGGCGGGCCGAGGGTGGCTGCCAGGCAGGTCGGCCGGCGTCGCCTGGGCCGGGGCTGCAGCAGCCGGTCCTCCTCAGCGCTACCGCGTGTGACTCGCCTCACAGCCTTCCGCGTTGGCCGGGCCGGGGAGGCGCGTTAGGAACGGTAAATCATTACTTTGAGGTGGTGTTGGCCCTACGTGACTGAAATTGTTCGTGGAAGCTGAGCTCAGCTTTTGTGGTGGAAATGAAAAGGGCATTGGAATCTCGGAATGGATAGGCAAAAACATTTGCTGAGTGCACACGAAGTGCTAAGGCTAGTGGGAAGGACTTCACATGCATTGTCATGGCCGTAATTCGCCTGCAAGCGTGCGCAGTGAAGTCTAAATTCCAGATAAATGTGGGGAAAAGTTAAATATAGGGAACGCTCCACGTGGGATATACTGCTTGCTTGTTTTTGCTGTTTGGTGAAAACTGCCAACCCTGTCCTGACGCATAAATTCCCACTTTACAGACAAAGACACGGGTTTGGCAATTAGCAGAACTAAGAACAACCCGTCAGGTATGAGGTGAGTAGCAGAACCAAGACTCCTGTTTACTCTTGTTATTGTTCTAGTCATTAAATCTCGGAATTTCTCAGTCTCTAAAAACTACAACAGTGACACTATCTCACAAAGGTGTTCAGTGGATTTAAAGAAATAAATGGACTCTGTGCCTTAATAGAATCCCATTTGCTTTATTCTCACGACCTGGCTCTATCAAGTGGTCTCAGTATGAAACGAGCTGCCTGCTGACAATAAAACAAGTCCAGCTATGGGGATGACAGAGTTACAGAAGAATTGTAAGCAGCAGACTACATAAAAACAAAAACGGAGGCATTTGATCCTCTCATCCTGCAGAAGATGAAAACACTGTGTTTATATTATTTGTCCCAGGTCACTCACTGGTTCTATTTGTTTTTTCCTTACATGGTCCTGGAGGGCCTCACAGTGGCATTCAGTGTTAGAGCCCACCAGGCAAGTGTAGCCTGAGTTTCTGTGGGAATGAAGCGGGCTCCCCTTGGCCCCCTCATGTGGATGCTTTGAAGGAAGTTCCTGGAAGAAGGGGAGCAGAGGTGAAAGGAAGGAAGGTGCCTAAGGAGCCACAGCATTGTTTCTAACTCAGCCACCCCTGTCCTGGTGACTGCTAACACCCCGTGTAGATCTTGAGCTCCTTACTGGTTATTGTACTGAGCCTGTTTGTGTTGAACTTTAATTCTTTTTCCTTCATTACTTTATGTGTATTTCAAATTCCCCTGACTACACGATCCTTAACTCTAAAGGAATCGGAGAATTTGAGACTTGGAAGACATTTCAGATATAGATTATGTCCATTAACTCAATCTAACAGGTGAAAAAATATTTCCAGAAAAGTTCAGTAGCTTGTCCAGGATCTGATCATGAAGTATCCTATAGTACCCTCATGCACTAAATTCTGTTTTGTTCCTCTGTATTGGCTGATCCAACTCTAAGAGGTTGAACATATTCAGATAATCTGTGAAACTCAGGTCTGGTAGTGAATCTGTTAACACCGAGTGTAGAGTGTGTGTTACAGGCCACTTTAGAGGATTTTGAACATCTGAAAGCTATGATTGAAGATAATGACGATTCCGAGAGAACAGGGTTTCCTAGGAGTTACAAAAGTAAGAAGATTGGGGCCTGGCACAGTAGCCTAGTGGCTAAAGTCCTTAACTCTTACGTACTCAAGATCCCACATGGGCACCAGTTCTAATCCCAGTGGTCCTGCTTCCCATCCAACTCCCTGTTTGTGGCCTGGGAAAGCAGTCGAGGACTGCCCAAAGCTTTGGGACCCTGCACTCGTGTGGGAGACCCGGAAGAAGCCACTGAAGCATCACCTTGGGGCTAAGCTACATCTGTTTATAGTGAGACTTAATGATCATGTAAAAATAACCTGCTTGTCAGCAAAAAGTCTGGGCTTCTAAGTTCCTAGAGGTTAACAGCCATGTCTTTTTCATCTTTAATAGTCTACTTAGGACAGTTTCTGGTACAGAAGTGAAAAAAAAGTAACTTCTCTCAAATCATTTAATACCAGAACTAGGATGCATGGCTCCTAAATACTGCCAAAAAGTTAGAATTATGAATGGAAGTCTAATTTCCTTGCCTTAATAATCTTTTCCTGTGTACTCCTTGAAAGGAACTAATTGTATTGAATGATGTCCACATTTCTGTAACCATAGTATTGGCAATAATTTTGACCAACCCTCAAAAAAATTTGAACCTTACAAGGGGATAGATTTAAACCCACATGTCACTAGTAGCAGTAAGTGAGAACAGGTGCAATTTTAATGGCAAAGATTGGGTTCCTATTGCTGTAACAAGCACTCCAGATTGATTATTTCTATAGGTCAGTGGTCTGCATAGCACAAAGTAATAGAGTTAGCACAACTTGTTTGCTGGGGCTGGTGTGTTCCAAATAACTTCTTCTTTCAGTTGAATGGCACCTCAGCTAGGCTGGGTTAAATGGCTGGTTCCTAGCTGGAAAGGTGTACATGCAAGCTCTTGGTTCTGACTGTTGGTTGAGTTCTGTGGGTTTCCTTAAGTAATTCCAATAGTTGTTACTCTCCACAGTATTTCTAAACAATCTCAATAGGAAGATAGACTTTTTACGCTCTGGGGTCCTAAAAGGATTAAGTTTAAAACTGATACTTTGTTGCTTTTGTTGTCTGTTGTCAGAGAGTGCAAATTATAGGCCCTTCCCAGAGGCAAGGAGACAGAAATAAATAAAAGTGTAGCCACCACCAGGGGGTTTACATCACCCGAGGCCACTAATTAATAAAACTTTCTCTCTCTAATTGTAATCAGAGACTAAAACAAAATGCAACTACATGCTGTTTACCCAGGATATGTTTTCTAGGATATAAAGATACAGAAAGTTTGTAAAACACTGTGTAGTACTTCCAAAAGAAAGCAGGAATAATTGTATTAATATCATATGAACTAGACTCAAAGAGAAAGAGCACTGACAGACATGAAGCCAAACTTCATAATGGCTAAAATTTAATATGCAAAAAAGATTAAAATAATTCTAAATTGATATTCTAATAGCACAATTTTATTGTTTGTAAAGCAGTTCTACTACAAAGCAGAATTGAAAAATCCACTGTTTTGGTAAGAGATCTTAGCGTATTCAATTACTGAAAAAACATACAAAAAATTCAGTAAGAAAATAATTTTGAAGAATGTGGCTAACCAAATTCAGTAAAAGGGCATATGGTATATGTTACTGGAATCCTTAATTTATGAAAAAATTTCATTACTTAATGTTATTTCAGTTTTGGTTCACGACACTGGAATACATCACAGGCTCCTGAGCCTTCAGGCTGATTATGACCTGTCCCTGTTTTACAGGTTTGTTTACCATGTGCACCTTTGCCTATTCACTCTATCAACATACTAAATCACCACTAGGTTCTGAGTCCTGTGCTTAGTACAAGTGTGAAAACTGTAGTTGAAACTACAGATAAACAATTGGAAAATACAGGGTACTACCAAGTAGTGAATGCACTACTGTCAAATGCAGTGATGGGACTTTACAGCAGAAGCAGTGGAACCAAGTCCTAAATTAACCATGGGGTGTGATGCCTAAGCAAAGGTGGAAAGAAAGGAGCAACAGTAGGACCGGCTAATACGAACTGGAATCACATGTAGCAGAGTCTAGTGTTGTAAGAGCATGGCTGTTCAGGTTAGAGCATGTCAGTCATTTGGAATGACTAGAGTATAAAAGGTTGCTCAAGTTAAGGGTTATCTTGTTGCAAGAAACAAACTCTTGCCAGCTGGCTCAAGTAAAGCAGAAATGAATTTATAAATAGCCAGGGAGTATGTGAGACATTACTGAGAGAAGCACAAGCAACATTCAAGAACTCCCTTTCTCTCTTGTTTTCTTGTTTCTAATCTTGGTTTTCTGTGTGTCTATTCGACTCTATAGACTTTCCTCTTTGCTTGCTTATCTGCATATATGTGGCTTGTTACAAATAAATTAATGGTGTTGGGACTCTAGCTGTGCCTCCTACCCAGTTTTGCCAACTTGCCTGTTTAGCAATTCACAGTTAATACCTGACTCAATTTCAGAGTACCAATTCCAAATTCTCA